TCGGTCTTCTGCAGAAGTATCATCGGTTAAATAAAGATATCGTCGGATTCCAATTTATAGGAACTTCCAAAGATTTTCTGTATCGATTGAGGAGCTGACTGCTTGCTGCCTACAGTCTTCTCCCGGACATAGCGTACCCTTTATAACTGTACTGGGCCGAAAAACATAACGGGCCGAAAAACGTAACTTACATACATTTATGATGAGGTTATGTTGTATTTGCGTGAAGATGATACCGTGACGCGTTTCATTGGAGAGCGCTAAGGGGGACAAAGTTGACGATCATCTGCTTTGGTCATGCCACTATTGTCTTCACCCGAGTAGAAAGGCCGGTCATTATCATTGCATCTAGACTGGAAGTAGCCCGAAAATCGCCCATAATAATCAGGCATACATATATGAGACCCTAAAGGAGGAATACGACAAGCACAAAGAATTTGGCTTTGTTGAGGGTCCAAGAGACAAATTTGTCGAGTTCGTGAAGAACAACCTTACATAATAGTGGTGCGAAGCACAGGCTCGTAAGAGCTTGTGGAGTTGCCGGAATATGCACTTTGCCTACATTGGTTTTGTATCCCGCTTTAAGCGACCCTTTCACCAGCGCTAGGAATTTCTCAAAGGCAATCTTCCTTCGGCCTTAAATGTCTAATAAGAGACGCCTCTGCTTCCCATTGCCCCTTTGGCTCCACTCCGACGATAGATCAGACGCGAAGTACAAATGCTGGTGCTGCCTCCAGCAAGCATTTTTGGAGCTCGAGCGCCCACTTCGTTTTTCAGATATTCCTATTACCAGCAAACCTACAGAAGTAAGGATGGGAAAACGAAAAGGAAACCCTACAGGTTGGATTGCTCCTGTTTTCCAAGGACAAATTATTTTTGAAATGGATGGTGTTAGTTTGTCAAATGCTCAAGCAGCTGCTACTTTAGCTTCACATAAACTGAGTTTGTTCAATGGTCATAATTAGCTCAGAGTCAATCAATGCAAAACGGAGAAACAAATAAACAGTAGTAAGAAAAAAAGGCTCCAAGAGTGTGATTACTGTTGAAACATATTTACCGGTGTCTGATAATTCAGGTGCAAAAGTCGTACAGTGTATCGAAATCCTTCGACTCGAGAGTGAAGAAGGTAGGCATTTGATTCATAAGGAAGTCGCCATGTGATAAAATATTTAATTCGTTTATCATTTTCTCTTTGGACTGCGTTCATTAGTGTGCGCTCAAGTTTGATCTCTTTTTGGAATCGTTTTTTCAGTGCTTTTTCAGAGCAGGTAGCCCCAGAAAAAATGCGTACGTCCATCTGGCTTCATCAAGATTCGATTTTTCGTGATGTGAGGAACAGCCAATCACAAATGTGTGTACCTTTCAGCTGAATTACTTGTTTTTTTTTTTTTTTTTACTTGTTTTTTCCCTGTCAGTGCGAGGCTTTTAAAAAAAACAAAGAAAGGATCTATTGTACTAAGGCAACTGGCTTCGTCTCGGGCTTAGTGCTCCCGCCAGCATCCGTTTGTTCAAAATTACAAACAACACAAATCGAACGCGAACAGCGGATATAACTTGCGGCAACGTGCGTCCGACTGTCACAGCTATTTCTTTTCTGAAGGATTTCATGGACCTCCGTGTTCTTGTTAGTAACACGACACACGCACAGAGAGAGAGAGAGAGAGAGAGAGAGAGAGAGAGAGAGAGAGAGAGAGAGAGAGAGAGAGAAGGGGCCTCGGGAGCAGCAAATGAGAAACTGCCACGTGGAAAAAACGCCACACGGCGCGTTGGTTGGCGTGGTTTCTGTTTTTCGCTTGATCTTGTTCACACGTGTGCGGGGGCGTGAGAAAGAGAGAGAGAGTGAGTGACGGTGATGGACAGAGACGGCCTCGGGAGCACGAAAGCGAGTGTGCATCGTGGGAAAATCCCCACACAGCGCGTTGTTATGCGCCGTTCTAGCTTTTTGCTTCGTCTCCTTCACACGCTCTCTCTCTCTCTCTCTCTCTCTCGCGCGCGCGCGCGCAAGAGAGAGAGAGAGAGAGAGAGAGAGAGAGAGAGAGTGAGTGGGGCGGAGGGGTAAGTTCTCTCTCTCCCCTCTTCTCCCCCCTCTCTCTCCCTCGCGCGCACGAGAGCGAGAGAGAGAGAGAGACAGAGACAGAGACAGAGACAGAGAGGGGCCGGAGGGGAGTGGGGGGGAGTGTCTCAGGTCTACGCGCATTTACTAACAGAGAATAACATCGGGGAAACCTAGTAATAGCAGCAGCAACAATCGAGCAGTCCTACTTATGGCCAAAGCAAGACTCGAGCTCGGGTGGCGATAAGCGACACGACACCAAAAATACGCGAATATACGTGAGGTCCGGTGCTCTCTGCGATTGAGTTAGCTGCTCTGCCCCCAAGGTGTAAAGGCATACGCACACTAGCACTTCTCTAAATGCATCAGACCCTAATTACAGCCGTACCTGGATGCATATGACTACCATCACGTCGAGAACTGCGTCGAATAGAGAAAGTTCTAGTGTGAGAAAGTTCCAGTGTGAGTATTTCCTAAGAATGGTAAACTTGTTCTGACATTCTTGTGCATTGGGGTCAGCTCTTACCGTCAGCACTAAACGCGGTAGAGTACTGCGAGGCAACACGATCCGCATGGTGATGCCTTTTTTGCGCTATCAAGGAAATGAAAGATTCGGGAGGATGGTTTCTGGATTGGGTAGAAGCACGGTGGAGGACAAGAGTGGGGAGATCCCTAAGTTGAAGACGCGGCGGCGGCTCAGCCTGCAGAAACGCGTCCAGGAGGCCTGTGGACGATCTAAACGAATATCTCCTATGGCTGATTAGCTTATTCGCAGCGCTCGTATGAGGCTATGCATGCTCATATCATCACTCCTATCTGTTAACGAAGGAATTGAAAAAAAAAAAAAAAAAAAAAAAAAAAAAAAAAAAAGAAGCTTGTACGCAGCGCTTGTAGTACTAGATGATTGACGAGTGTTTTCGTTAATGGTTGCTGTTGCTGATAGCTCATTCACTGATCGCCTGGCCCAGGAAGTAATGTAATTAATGATTTCTAGTAACAAGCATTCTTCGGATGATAGCCCGGAAACCGCTTACGGTCTGGAATGCTAATGGTTTTAAGAACGATGTGTTGTCGAGGATGGATGACTGAACTTCACTGAAGTTTCAATTGTTAAGTGAGGTGAAGTTTCACCTCGTATCTCGCTGCTTCATGTTGGTGATGGTGATGGTGTGTGAGCGAGGCGGGGATTAATGTAGATGTACCACATGTGATCGATGGTCGTGGAGAGGGACGGGGAAAGCAAAAAAGAGTGTCCAATGTCGAACATATATGGTTGATTAATGGGTTGCGTGCATGTGTATTGACGCGCACACGTAAACGAGTGGAACAGCATGCTGAATCGCTGATCGTGCCATAGAGTTGTCGTATATCCGCAGTCACAAGGTTGATTGCAATGGGTTGTGTGTGTGAGTATTGACGGACATACATAGACTAGAGGAACAGCATGCTGAGCGGTGGAAGAGGTGGCAGATTGGCAACAACATAGCGAGTAATAAAATGATCGTAGTCAGAAGATCGTGTTAATGGGTTGCGTGGGTGTGTATTGACGCACATACGTAGACGAGTGGAACACCATGCTGCAGAGGTGGAAGAGGTGGAAGAGGTGGAAGAGGTGGAAGATTGACAACACCATAGCGAGCGATAAAATGATCGAGCCGTAGAGACGCCGTATATCCGTACTAAGAAGATCGTGTTAATGGGGTGCGTGTATTTATATTGACGCACAGACGTAGACGAGTGGAACAGCATGCTGCAGAGGTGGAAGAGGTGGAAGAGGTGGAAGAGGTGGAAGATTGACAACACCATAGCGAGTGATAAAACGATCGAGCCGTAGAGACGCCGTATATCCGTACTAAGAAGATCGTGTTCATGGGGTGCGTGTATGTATATTGACGCACAGACGTAGACGAGTGGAACAGCATGCTGCAGAGGTGGAAGAGGTGGAAGAGGTGGAAGAGGTGGAAGATTGACAAGACCATAGCGAGTGATAAAATGATCGAGCCGTAGAGGCGCTGTCTGTCCGCAGTAACGATCAGTGTCGGAGTATTCCTCCTTTGCTTTCACAACACCATCGCCGCAAACTTCTCAAATCGACAGCATCCTATTGATAAAGATCGAGATGAAGCACAACAGAACTGAAGTGTTTTCGTGCCCCCCTCGCCCCCAACCCTCCCCCCTGGTGGTCGGTTGCATGCGCGTTGCAATAGGGGGCTGCCTCGACAAGGAAGAAAGTAGGATGACAGGCAGCAAGGGAGTCAGTCGTATGCTTCATTGATCACACCTACGGTGTTGAATCGTTGGACGATTACGCTCGAGAGATGTGGTGAAATCTGCGACGGTTTGCTGTCCCTTCACGCAGCAGCTCTACTGCACTGTACTCTACTCTGATCTGATCTCAACTGATTCGACGTAGTAGTACAAATCCTATTTCGAAGGCGAGAAATGTGCCGACGAAGTTCAGATGGAACGGCTTGACTACACCTCGCGCTACTCTATCTAAACTGATCTTAGTCTATATCCTAGATCTCGTCTATTCTCTTCTAAATCTACTCCACTCTATTCTTAATTTGTTGTTTTTTTTGTCGGCGATAGACAGCTTTTTTTTTTCTTTTTTTTTTTGTTGAACGAGCAACCGCAATAGACAGCTTAAAGTTCGTTCGCGGACACTCACAAACCAATGTTTTTGTTGTTCCCCCGAGCAGAAATGAGGGAGAATTACAGAAACACCTTTTTAAAAAATATTGCACGGCAAACATACATAGCGCAAGGAATTAATTTCATATTAGAAATAGCTTTTCTGATCGCAGGAATACCTTTTTCGATTACAGAAATAGTCTGAAATACCCTTTTCAATTGCAGAAATACCCTTCTTGCCCCCAGCGATACCTTTTAAGAAAAAGAGTTCCCACGCCTGTATCTCTTGTGGAGGTGGATTTCCCAAGAAACTCTGAGAAAACGAGATGTCATATGACACACCGACCCTACAATACATACGTAAAAGAAAGCCTCAGCATCGATCAATCCAGCAAATTAGAAAGACTGAATAAAAAAGTAACAATGTTTAGAAAGAAGGTCCGAGAATTCAACCGAAATGAAATGACACACATAGATTAAACTATGCACAGAAAATTTGCACGAAACGTTGCGGGAAAAAAAACCTCCTTCGTGGGACATCAACAACACAGTCGACACTGCAGAAAACGCGTATCTTTGATTGAGAGGCGATTAGCGCGTACTCTTGAGCGTTACGACGACGGAAAAAAAAAAGAGAAAACCCAAAAGAAAACGGCAAACTTTTTCTTCTACTAAGCTCTTCGCCTCTTGCCGTAATGACTGTGCGATACGTCCATCATGATGGTGGTCCATTCGTGGAGCATAATATAATACATATCACATACATTCAGAAAACTCTCGACAGTCAATAAGCTCTTAGTCTTAGGCACACAAACCATCATCGATCTTTAGATTCTTTACTAACTCGACGGTACACAGTCGATATCCGCCTCGGAGTCAACTGCTTTATCTTCATTGATCCGGGTTTTCGTCATTCGGACGTGACATGGTAAGCAACAGGGGGACCTGAGAGAGTGCCAGAGAGTCGGTGAGAGCCCTTCCTGTCAATCTCCGACGATATCGAAACGATGGCGAAGCAATCAACTGCGTGCTTGCATTAGATCGACGATGTAACCTGCTATGTGAATATGTGAGTTGCTATGTGGGATGCTAAGTTAAGTAGCTGAGAGGCTGTGAGGTGCTATGCGAGTGACCGCTGAGTAAATGGCTATGTGAGATGCTATGTGAGTTGCTATGTGAGACGCTGTGCGAGATGCTGTGTGCGCGTTGCTATGTGAGACACTGTGCGAGATGCTATGTGCGTTGCTATGCGAGTTGCTGAAAGGCTGTTTTTGAGTGAGTTGCTATGTGAGGCGCTAAGCGCAGGGCTATGAGAGTAGCTGCTGCTATGCGAGTAGATGTTGTTGTGCCATTGCCATGATGGGAGTTAGTATGGGAGCTGCTACATGAGTGGGGAAAATGTTTCGTGAGTTGCTATAAGTGGTGCTATGCGTAGTGCTATGTGCGTTGCCGTTTGAGTTTGTACGAGACTGCTATGTGCCTGCTACGCGAGCTTGCAGTAGGCCAACACTAGTACGTGAGTTGCGCTGTGAGTTGGTATGTGGGGTGCTATGCCAGGTGCTACTTGACGTCCTACGTGGGACACCAGCTGGGGTCTGGAAGAAGCTTGGGCATGGAAGTTCATCCTAATTTGAAAGGATATGCACAATCGTTATCACAATGACGAAGGCCGCCACGGACGTCACGTAACTAAGCTCATCAAGCTCCTCACCATCGCCTCGTTCTCGCGTTTGATGG